CCCCATCATCTGAAACATACTTGGAGTGATGATTCAAAACCAAATTCATTGTCCCGTTGAAATGAGTTACATACTATAAAAGCCGCTAACTCATTCAAACGAAATTCTTTCAAAATCCAGGTTCTTGCACAGACAGGATGTGAAGTGCAAATGTTGAATAAGGCGTTAGAAGGTGTGAAGTTTAAAAACGAAAGCTGCAGAAGGAGAAAGCTGCCAGAGCATTTACTGCGCTTATCATCACAGCATCACCCTTCCTTCACCCATCAAGACAGGTCCACACCCTTCCTGTGCCGGCCCCACGAGCGAAAGAGAGAACAGTGACAGTTTGCCTTTTTTCTTTCTTTCGTTTCTTGTTTTTTTTTTTTTTCTCAGGTTACTGCTTTGGTGGAGTTTTGACCTGATTTGACCCCTTGATCTTATTGAACATCGAGGCTCTCAGTCCAGCGCAGAAAACCTCCTGTTACCTGGACAGTTAATAGTTGCGAAAGTCTCAAAGTTGAGGAAGCCATTTGCAGGGAGATGGTACAGAGATAAGGCTTAAAAAAAGTCAATTTCCCTGTGGCACGTGAAAACAGCATGCTTGTAAAACTACCCCAGTTAAATAAAATGACCATACGGACAACAGCATGATGTAGCCTATTTACCACCAGGAGCAAAAAAACAAGACCCCTTTTACATCTTGGAGCAGCTTAAGAGCTTAAAATGTGTATGTTCCTTCAATGAATGCTAAGAGCTTTAGAAACAAACAAAATAAGGAGCTTCACATGAACCGCAGTGCGACTTCCTCATTGACATTTCTATAAGCAGTTCATGTGTCATTACCTTGTGTTCCATCACTGTCTGTGTAAATCCTCAGCGTGCATAAGGGGAGCGCTCAGACGTTCACGCAGAGGCAAGCGCAGGTGACCTTTTTCCGACAGCAGCTTCACAAGCGCGTCCCTCCACCAGCAGCGAAGTCAGCATCAAAGCCTTTTTGGCCAACTCATAACAGAGCCCCCGCCAGAGATGCTGGTTGACTCTGCAGTTGCGTGCGAGGATGGCGTCAGTTGTGGGTTGTTCTCGGAGAAGGCTGACACTCGGTTCTGAGGCACTCTGACTTGAGAGGGGAGGAGGAAGCTCTGCCCTCTCTGAATGGCTGGGGGGTAATTTTTTCTCAGCCAAAACATGAAGACTGACACAGGACAGTTCATGAGTGAGAGAAAAACAACCCCCCCCCAAAATCATAAAAAGGTTGATTTGAATCACAGGAAACGTTGCTTACCTCCTAAGTTGTGAAACCCTTTTGGTAAGGTGATGGGTGAGTGGACAGAAGTGAGATTTTATTCTCTTTTCTTTCAGTTTGAGCGTGCATACTTGTTGTTCTGTACTGTAAAACAGCGTAAATGTTGAAACAATTTATATTCTGCAATGCAAGCGCTCATCTGCTTCCTCTATCAGACAGGGTACTTCCCTTTTTTAAACTCTGCCGTTTACTTATGCGTTTGTTTTGGCATGGGGCAGGGATTACAATCTTTTTTAAAATCTTTGTTTGTGACACAAGAGAGTTGTCTCACAGGACCTGTGGTTGAGGTCTCTCACCCGTGGCACCATCAGCTCCTCACGTGCTTGGAAACAAATGCAAGAAAAAGAGCTCTGCACCACAGGAAAGCTGTCTCTCTCTTCTCGTCTTGTCAGTTTCACACATCTGGGTTAGAATGAGGGCACGACATGAGACGGAGATAAGCTCGTGGCTCCCAGTGTCGGCTCCATCTGCACAGGTGCAGGTCAACGACCTCGAAAAACGGCAACCAAAAAAGCAGAACACCCTTGAATGAGTCAATCTGTGTTTTTTTTTCTTTTAACAGAAGTGTCTGCGTTCCAACTTGTGGCCACTAGATGTCAGCGCAGGCCACTTCTCAGTTTGTTTTGGCCTTCCAACCAGGGCTGCTCTGCTCTTTTGACAGAGCCGTTTGGATGGTAAACATTTCAGCATTCTGGGGAGAAACGTGAGCAACATTCTTGACACGGACCACTCAAAGGTTAAAGGGGAGCTTTTCCAACACTCCCACTCCTCTTATTTCCTGTCCCTCTATCCACTCCAGGGCTGTTGTCTGCCTCCCTGCTCCTCTTGACACCCAAATCCCAGAATCCATTCACCGTTATCTCCATGGCTCTGTTGCTGAATACATATTGTCACATCACTCACACAGCACAAGAGGGCTGGCGGGGTTACTAGATCGCTCTTCCTCATTCACTATACAAACCCCTGCAGCAGGTATGGAGCTCCATAGCATTACCAACTATGGCCATGAATCTCTGTCCCTGGTTTTCTCTCCTATAGGAGGAAAACACAGCTCCCCCTAACTGAGCTCAAGGCAGAAGAGAGCTTCACTCTCCAGGATGCTGTGGGAGTGAAGAAGCACATAAATGAGTTGCTTCTGCCTCTTTACACTGTTACTATAGGCCTGTTTGAGGCAGGATGTTTGAACAGTATATCCTATCAATAGAAGAGGGGGAAAGAAAAAAAGAAAAGTGGAAAAATAAAGTATTAATTAAATGTCGGTGGCGTTGCAGTTACATTAATTGCCAACTAATAACCCCACATAAACGCAGAGGCACAGGGTCTCCTTTCATTCCTCTTCTTCACTGATTATTTTAATCACTCAAAGACCTACAAGCCATAATCAAGTTTGACACTTCATCTCATTTATCCCAGAAGTGTTTGTACCATCAACTCGAAGGGCGGCACATTCTTTGTCTTTTATAGAGCAGTTTAATGACCCTGGATAAGGCAGGGTAGGTATATGCTACACTTCTTGTTTTAAAACAGACAGAAGTATTCCACAAATCCATATGAGCAAGTTTAGCAATTTTCCCATTGGGATCTGCTGAGTCATGGTGCTTTGCGCTTCGTGTCGGGTGAGGAGGTGATTTTGGGTAAACAGTCCAGGTTGTTCATCTGTACTTTGGAATGTGAGCGTATTTGCTGCGTGTAAGAGACTTTGAGCAGATCTGCAGTCTAAGGCCAGATTAAGACAGAGAGTCCTCATTCAGTGGTGAACAATGGACCATTGCTAAAGTTATAATGAGCATTTGGCCTGTGACACAGCACCCAGGCCAAGGTCCTCGCCCCGTGCGACAGCAGCGCGCAACATAAGAGACGGAGTAGAGAAACTCTTTCACGTCAAGGACCGAGGACGTGGGCAGAAATAAAAAGTGCAAATCATTCACAACAAACATTTTAGTGTCCTTAAACTCAGCAGGGCAACACAACACTGTCATGTACAGTAGTAACAGCTGATCTCAACACAACACATGTAATGTCATTACATTAACGCCTAACATGGTATACTGAACCGTGAGAGCTTAAACATTATACAATTAAAACATATGGATCTGTGGGTTAAAAAAACAAACATGTTTCAATAAGGTGGACGGCAATTTCCATTTTATGGCTAATCCAGTGTGTCTGTTTGTGTGAAGTGTGAGTGACGAAGTGCTGGAGGCTCTGTTCGAGTCCCTTTGTGCTCTCTGGACCATTACAGTAGTTCCAGTGTGGCCCAGTCTGTGGTCCCCGCAGTGTTCTCTCATAACCAGCCCAGATACATTCCTCTGTCCTTCGGCGGTGGATTAATCCGAAAAGCCCAGGCCATACCTCAGGACTTACCCCAAGACTTAACTAATCTGGTGAGCTATTTGTTTGCTACTTCCAGGAGCAAACAGCTGACTGCTTTAATATTCAGGTTCGTCCATCAGACCTACCCTGTCTTTTCTTTCTATGCTCTCCTCCGTGCTGAGTCAGAGCTGAGTGTCAGTAATCACTGCATCTTTCCCATTGCTGGCTGGAGTGTGTGTGTCTCTGGGGAGACTGTTTACCTTCTCCTGGGTCTCAGTGTCGCTGCGGGGGATGCTCTCAAGACGAGAGACGTTCCCTTTGCCTCCCATGGTCAGGCTTTTCTGAAAGCTCTCGGACGTGAAATAGTAGACTACGGGATCCAGGCAGCAGTTGAGACTGGCCAGGCACAGAGTGATGGGGTAAAGTGTTCGGGCAAAGCGCTCCACGGTGCAGTTGGCCCAGGCCTGGGTTCGCACCAGGGCATACACGAAGAGGATGGAGTTATAAGGGACGAAGCAGATGATGAAGATGCCTAGATGGACCACAATCATCCGCAAGACACGCTTCTTGCTTTCACAGCCGTGGCCAGCGGTCACCGGGCGACGGAGCGTCCGCAGAACCAGCGAGGAACATACCAAGTTGGCCAAAAGGGGGAGGAGAAAACCTACAATCTGGGAGACAATAATCGAAAAACACAGAAAAAGTTAAAACCCATTGCTCTGTATTTGTAAATCTAAATCGAAACAAGGTACAGAACAGGCACACGTTAATGTGAGACCATGGAAACATTCCCGTATACCTCGATGAAAATGGTGATTTTTGACAGGTAGGTCTTCCACGTGCTCTTGGAAAAGCCCTCGAAGCAGGTGGTGGCTCGGTGCTTGCTGTTGATGGTGGAGAAGAAGGTCACCGATATCCCTCCGCCCACGATGGTCAGCCACACGGCCGCGCACATCAGCGCCGCATTCCTGCGCGTGCGGATGGAGCGCGAGCGGAACGGGTACACGATGGCCAGGAAGCGGTCCACGCTGATGCAGGTGAGGAAGAGCATGCTGCCATAGATGTTGGTGATGAAGGCCGTGCCTGATACTTTACACAACCCGTCTCCGAAGGGCCAGTGGCGGTTCACATTGTAGAAGACCTTGAATGGCAGTGTAAAAACGAATACTAAATCGGAAAACGCTAAATTAGTCATGAACATTGTGGTCTCGTTGCGCATCTTCATCCGGAAGCAGAAGACGAAGAGGGCCGCACAGTTGGTAATCAGGCCTAAGATGAAGACCACGCTGTACACCGCCGAGTACAGGTCGTACTTGAAGGAATCGTCTATCCCACAGTCCTCCATTCCGGTTTCGTTGATCACCAGGCTAGCCATGGTGACAGCTCAAAGATGGGAAGGGGTCTCCTCAAAAAATGGGGACACAGGCCGTCAGGAAACGTGGAGTCGGGGAGGATTTACGGGAGATCTGGGGAATCAGCAGGGGGCCCTCCAGTCAAACCCCCTACAGGTCATCATGGACCCTCAGACTAACAAATGAAGCCAAAAGCAGTCAGGATGCACGGCTGCACTACTGGTCACTCCCCCTGCAGAGAGAAAAGGAAAAAGCACTCAGCCACTTCCGCTCTATAAAAATTACCGGCCAAGTAAATAACCCCTTCAGGTCACCACGAGACAGAGCTTGGTGGTTTTAGCTGCAAAACAAAGCCCAGAACGAGTATGATAAACATGAAAACTCATCCCATATTTACCCACAAGCATCTAAAAAAGATGAATTCCACAATTCTGTGGAAACAACCAACAATCAGGACTGTAGGATACAGAAAATCAAATACCCAGTTTCTACATTCAGAAATTTCATCCACACGAGTGTTTGTCATTTCTGGTTCTCGGCCCCCCCCACACAGCTTATTTTCTATGTCAAGCAGCTCCATGGGTGAGATCAACTCCAAGCCCAAAGTCTCTTTAATAAAACTCAAGCTGTTGAGCTTGTTAACATTGTCCTTATGATGTTTAGATGAGTCATGACGCATATCATAAGCACATTTAATCATTGAGGGTATCGCTGAGCATTCCTGCTTTCAATGTGTAGAGCACAACGTCCGGTCGCTAACAAACGACGACAAACACTCTGCATTTGTGGCACGAGACCGTACAACCGTTTCCCCGTTGACACCGGGAGCTGGTACGGGCGGTGAGGCAGAGGTTGGGAGGAGCTTGCCAGAGCTTTCACAGCAGGTGATGCTAACCCATGTGACAGCTGCACCGAGCTCGCTAGCAGCTGCTATCCACGGAGGCTCATCCATGGTACGGCAGGAAACCTGTAGTGTGAACCGGGGCCTGTTAGCTTTTAGTTACTTTCTCTTCACCGTTTTTTTCCCCCTAATTTCATGCAGAATTGAGAAGCGATCATGTAGCGTTAGCACATTCATAGATCCCTAATCAATGAGTGACTTTGAGCCTGAAGATGACCTATTGGTGGGTGGAGTGGCAAAATATATCTAAAGAATGTAAAGAAGGGGGTAGGAAAATAAGAAATTAAAAACACTGTGCAATTCCGACTAGGATGGGCTCAAGTGGCAGAAAATAAATGGATGGTTTATTCTTATATATTGATGTAAGAACTAGTATACGACAAAATACATGCTCTTTTGTTAAATCTAAACTTGAAACTAAACCTAACCAAACTATATTCAACATTCAAGTTGAATTCCATTTGTGTGTTTGAACATAAACTCAGCTCTTACGTGGCTTTTACTTTTTGACTCTATGGGGGCCGTTAGCAGAGCAGCAAACTGACTGTAAAAGTCGGCTGACTGTAACCGACTGTAACCGTTTTTTTTTTTTTTAATTCAATTCATTTTCATTCATGATTCAGTTCCTAAAAGAGGCCTTTATAAAATTCTGTCGGCCTTAGAGGCGAAGAAAAGCTTCTCTGGCGTGACACCACCTTAGAGAAGTAAATAGCCCAGTGTGACTCCCGCCATCCTGTAGTACTGCTGCGCAGACACAATGGCCTTGTTTTTATTCCACTAACAATTACAGTGACGCGACAATGTGGAAGACGGTGCATTTTCTGGCTGTTTAGTTGAGGCGATATTTAAACATGTGATGTCAGAGAAGTGGACTCCTTGGAATGCCTTTGATATCGTAGAGCACTGTCTGTCTTATCTCTGTGCCGGTGTCCAGCACATTATGAACACTTGATGTTTACCATGAACTTCCTTTTAACAAGGGCTGCCCAAGACTTCTGGTCTCCATAATGAACTGTTTGTAAAGAGCTTTTCTGTTAAACAGTGATCACTGTTGAAACGGTAAATCAAATGTACACCTTTTGAAACGGATCTGTTTGGAATTAGTCACAGAGCGTGTTTGGGAGTCTTCCTGGTTTCTGTTGGGTTCAGACTGCAGTGTTTACACAGAGCATAAGAAAACCCGCTCATTTGTACCCCGGTTTACACCGTCACTGACGCATGAGGGTTCCTAAAGGGGGCATTTGTCCTCTGCAAAGATATACCAAACATCTGACACTTTGCCCCTAAGAAGAGCAGGTTCTCTGAATGAGAGGCGTGAAATAAAGCAAAAAGGAGCAATGTTGTTTCACAGAGAAAAAAGGTAGCTCTGGACAGCAGTTTATGTCTAAGCACACATAAAGCTCTGAAACATATCACTTCATAATAATTTCTCTTCCGTGAGTTTTACTATTTGACCATCCTCCTTTTATTAAATATCAGACAAATGCTTTAAATCTGGTTGTAACAGCGTGGAACATATATTATAGTATCTATTTCTACAAGGCATCCTTAGTTCAAGGGGTGATGGGTGGTCACCACCTGTCCCCTGTCCACACGTCACAGCGCTCTTGGAAACCTACACTGGGCTGAACTATTAAAAGCAATACATACGTGAGAAAACTCGTTTTCATCCTATTTAGCTTGTGTGAGCATTTTCCATGGTGATCCAGACAGGCTATTAGGGAGTAAACACCACCACCGAAAACCACCACCCAAAACTTTCAATTTCATTGAAAGTAACATGATGCCATGTTATATTTGTCTTATATCAGCACCACAAAAAACACAAAGAGAGCAAAATACAGGCCACCCTGGACTTTCAAATAAATAAAAGTGAACCGGTGAACACTTAGTTATCTTTTTAAATAAGCCTCTGCATTGTTCTTTAAGGGCTTGAGAGAGAGGTGTGTGAGGAAAACAGTCTCCAGAACCAAAGTGATGGATCTTAAATAAACGTCGGTGTCACTGCTGCTGGAGCATGACCTGTGTTACAACCACCTTGGCCTCAGCTGCATTGATTTCATCTTATCATTATTTGCTTAAATTTGCTTAAATGGGAAGCAATTTTACTCTGCAGCAGAGATTTAATGAGCTAAACAGGACTTATCTCGTATTACACAATGAGGTTAAACCTGCTGTAAGGTGGTCTACCTTCAGACTCTCTCTGGAACCTAATAATCAGGTAAAATCTTGGGGTAATACTGGACACAGACCTGAACTTTAACAGCCACATTAAATAAATAACATCAGCCCCCTTTTACCAGCTCAAAAACATTGCCAGAATCAGAGGAATAAAGTCTAAACCAGACCTAGAAAAACTAATCCATGCATTTCTCTCCATCCGGTTAGACTTCTGTAATGGCCTCTTCACTGGGCTTTAAACCAGCTGTAAGACAGCTGCAGAACATCAGGAATGCTGCTGCTGGAGTTCTGACCAGAACCAGGAAATACAACCACTTCAGTCCAGCGCTCAGGTGTCTGCACCGGCCTCCTGTCCTGCACAGACTTTAAAACAGCTCTGCTCGTGCACAAGTCTCTTCATGGTCAAGCGCCAAAACACAGGTCTGACATGTTAGACTGTATGAACCAGCTCGGGCTCTGAGAACCTCAGGTTCCGGACTCCTGCTGGTGCCCAGAGTCAAAACTAAACAAGGAGAGGCTTCATTCAGGTTCATGCTCCTTAAATCTGGAACAGTCTTCCAGAAGAGGTGAGACAGTCAGCTCTGGCAATGTTTAAACCCTGGCTAAAAACGGTTCTGTTTAACCGTGCATATGGAAACTGGGTGTATTCTATCTGCGCCCTTCACTTTTTATCTAATTTATTTTGTCGATTAATTTTTTTCTCTTTGTTTTTCTGCTTTTCTATTTTTTGTAAAGCGCTTTGAATTGTCTTGTACACCAAATGCGCCATACAAATAAACTTGCCTTGCCTCCCTGGCATAGCCGGCGCGTTTCAGGAGAAGATTCACTGCCTCTGCTCAGCACACACACACACAAACAGACCACAGACAACGCTGTAAGCGTGAGCTGGCAGTCCATCAGCGCCGCTCGCTGCCAGCTGCAGTGTGACATCTTTACTGCGTTTTCACACGCCTCCCCAAAAAGCCCCCACAATGCCCCGACTGTACCCATCTGGACCGAACACACAGTTTCATTTGCCGAAGTACCCACACAGAAAAACATTTGCATGTGCCAGTCTGCACGCAGGGTTCTGTGTGCCCAGGAGCTCTGACAGCCACACATTCTGCTGCCGACGGAGCTCAGAGTACAGAGAAGTAAGAAGAACCTGAACCTCTGCAGCAGATCTGGAGCAGAGTTAGGTATCCTGTGGTTTACTAGAAGTCCTGCCAAGGGATTTTTAGTCCTCGGTGCGTGTTTGTATGGACTTCGTGTTTGTGTCACGGACAGCTGCACAGCTACAGGGCTCTCCCCGCAGCTGGCCACAGCAGTGACAGAAAGGGGCCCCTGGGACCCGCTGATATGAGCTGATCCCAGTTCAGGCTCAGCTCTCATCCAGCTGTTCTTTTCTCTCACATGTCAGGGCAGAAGATGGCAGGGAGGCGCGGAGTGTTCGCTTAAAAAAGGACCTCTTCACTGCTAAAAGGGTTCAAACTGTAGCAGCATCCCACTCTGCAAATACCATGAATGCCACATCCTCCAAGGACTTCTTATCATTTCTAAGTATCTTTCATTAGAATGGATATAGTCCAGCGAATGTGGGTGGAAATATAAGCTTTGAGAGTCATTTTAACTTAAATTTCCCTTTATTTGTTGGTTATTTACATTTTTTCAGACAGATGCTCAGACTAAACCCACCAAAGATGCAAATTTTATGTTCAAAAGTTATCTTTTGTTCTTTTAGGCCTATCAAACAACAGTTCAACATCAATTCTGAAATAATGTCCAGCAATAAACCGATTGTGTACAGGAAGAAACGAAGGACAAAATACATGCCACAAGACAGATGCTGTCATCTGTTTGAGCTTGGTTTAGTGGCGGATTGTAAATAAGGTGTGGTACATCGTGTGCCCCCCAAGTATCCGTTATTTTAAAGCCCTGTCATAATAATTCCACTACATTTTAAACAACTATTCGCTTGTGCCTTTCTTCTGAATAAATAAT